CTGTTATAAAAACCACTTATCAATATTTACATCTGATTTATTTTTTTTCTGTTGGCATCAAACTGAAATATTTATAAAAATATTCACAAAGCAATCAAATAAAAGTTTCACATTTCTGCAAAGAGAATCCTTCAAAAATTGACATTGTGAAACATCAAATCCACCTAATTAAATCTATAGTGTTATATGACATAAAACATATTTGTTATGAAAGCAACACACAATCAGTATTCTCTGTGACAATGAAGGATGTAGCAATGAAGGGATTTTTTTCTCTTGACAGAGAAAAAAAGAAAGAAAGCCTCCGGGCACAAATGAAGAACTAATAACACATAAGCAGGAGACCTTATTGGCGTGCCCTACAGTAAAACACTTCATCTTGTTCCAACTCCTGAACCAGAGAGATTCTTTTATAACAATATTCTAAGCAAACAAATAAAATGAATAAAATAAATGAATGAATACTGGTGTAGCACTCTCTGCTGTTGATTATTAGGTACTGCAGTTAATGTTAACTTCAAGATTTGCTGTAAACATGGTATGGATATTTTTACCCCTACAAACATTAACATAAACAGTTTGAAACAACTGCAATAAAAACATAGTTTACATCATTCTTATTTAGTGAATGCTGGAAATGCCTTAAAATAGATGCAATAAAAAATAAAAATAAAGAAGCAACATCTAAAGAAATCAGGAACCTCGTTTAAATGGCTGTTTATGGTCAAAGGCCTGTCTGGACTGTGATCCTAAACATACTATCAAATTTGTGGCTTTAATTGTTTTAAGGTCAACAAAGTCAGTGCTTTGACTTTGGTACCAAGAAGAAAAGGGAAAGCTGCCAAATTTTACAGAAGGGGAAATAAATTGACCTGGGATACAAAAATCTGCAGCAGAACTGGACCCTACAACATGACAATGGCCAAAAACATAAAAGTAAATCCATCAGGGACTAGCTAAGAATGATAAAATGAAAACTTGTGGAACTAATTTTTATTCTTACAAGGTTACTTGATATAAACAGACTGGCAGATGACTATATTAACCTGGGATAGCTACATTTATTCAGTATAATCCTTTCCTGTTAAAGTATTTATTACAAAACCATATATTTCGTAAATATGCAAATAATTATAAATATACTGACCTTTTTAAATTTCTTTATATCCAGATGTTGACAAAACACTCAGATGAGACAGTTGTTCTGGCTTCTCAAGCTTCTTTTTGTAGCGCTATAAAATATGACTTCCTCTTGTTTATAAAGTGCAAACAAACCAAAAATCAGCTAAAATATTAATGTCTGTGGACAATTAATTTAGAGTATTTATGGTTATCCATCTTCTTAATCTATTTTGTTGCTGATGTGTTCTTAGTATAAAGGAAAAATGCAGCTAGAGTTCTAAGGAAAATTAAAAAGTGAGATCATATTGGTCCTTTTTCAGCTTCACTTTTCTGACTTTCAGTGAAATCCAATAATACAGAATTTAAAATCCTTCCTCTCACATATAAAGCCCTAAATGACCAGCCTCTATCTTATATAAGAGATCTAACTGTACCCTGTCTGCAATCTGCAGGTTTACCAGTGGTTCCTAAAATATCTAAAAGTAGAATGGGAGGCAGATACTTTAGTTATCAGGGTGCTCTCCTGTGGAACCAACTACCAGTTTTAGTCTATGAGGAGAGACCCTGTCTACTTTGAAGGCTACTTAACACTTTTATTTTCAAAAAAGATTATATTAGCTCAGATTATCCTGAGCTATCTCTATAGATATGCTGCTATAGGCTTAGACTGCTGGAAGACATAGGGGCCACTTTTCATCTCATCTATTTTCCAATTTAGCTGTATTCGAAAGTTCAACTTCTAACATTGTTTCCTTCCCTTTTTATCAACAAAGTAGCTTTATCTTGCCTGGAACTCTTGCCTCACTGTAACACTATAATGGAAGAAGGTATTAGTTGGTCTCTTTTATCATTTAAGTCCTGTTTTACAAAGATATGGGGTCAGCTTTAACTGCTACTCATTCTATGTGTATCCTGTTTGACATAAAATGCAATTCCGGACCCATCTGTTAAACCGTTTCTTTCAGAGACAGAGCCCCATATGGAGCTAGCTTACCTTTACCTTATCCAACATAGAAAGCTTTTATGGATCACTGCTTCTGTCTCCTTTAATCCCCAGTCGGCATTTTCAGAAGGCCGCTCACACTCAGCATTGGTTCTACTGGAAGTTTCTTCCTGTTAAACAGGAGTTTTTCCTGCATGCATGCCCAGTGTGAGGGATTCCTACAAAGTCAACAACACACTGTAAGCACATTTCTACTATTGCTATATGCTCATGGAGTTAGTTCTGCAAAATCCGGGACTTGATGCAGTCATCTAGTTTCCTTAGAACATTTTTAAATATTCTGTCTGTATGATTTAACTGAATTGTCACTGTAAAGTGCCTTGAGAGGACATTAGTTGTGTTGCACTATAAAAATAAACAGACCTGAATTGATTTCCACATGAACACAGGCTGTTCAGTGGGAACAGAAAAGATGTAACAACAGGTCCAGCATAAATGGATATTTAATGGAAATTATAAAAATATTTGAAGGGGAAATAAGGTTATAAATATGTTTACAGTTCTGGTGAGAAGTTTAAATGTACAAAGTAATTTTGGTTCTGTAATTATAGATTTTAACCATTTTTTTCTTAATGGTGTAAAGTTTTCTTTAAAATAGCAACTTTAAAAACTTTTAACATAAAAATTGGCTGGAAAAGTATCGATACATTGCACTTCTAGTTTTGATGAGTCCTGATGGGAGAATGGAAACCATTGACTCAATAAAACATTGAGCTTCATCTACCCGACTTAAAGGAATAGTACACCCAAAACATGATTAGCCTTCATTTTCTACTCACCCC